TATATATATATATATATATATATAAAACTGATTTAAAACTCATAGAACTACTATTAATACTGATATAATTAGGCATAACATATGACATGGATATTGATAGATATTGATACAACATATTGATATGGAACATTAATATTGTACATCAATATGATATTGATTCATTGATTTCAGTGTAATGATTTATGTGTTTTACTCATTTTATCATTCAAATTGATTCATATTATGAGCAATTGATCATTATTCGTACATATAGATCGGCTACTGATTTTATAATGATTTAGATGAGCATGCATATTGATTCTTAAGATATTGTATTAAAAGTGTTGATAATTTTGGCGTCATGCTAGACTTTATAAGCTCATTATTATGGTTTAATTGATTTTAGGTTCGGGATGGGGATCATCAGAGTGACATTGATCAAATTTAGAGTTATAGGTTTAGTTGACTTTTCAACATTTTATTTTATTATTTTATAACAAAAAATGTTTAGTGATAGCTTGATGTTTTATATTACACATCTAGTTTTTATATATAATTTTTTATTAGTGATGTATTGTTACACCTCAAAATCTAATTTGAAATAATTATTCTTTTATTTTTAATTTACAGAATCAGAGCTACCTAATTTTTTTATTAATAAAATACCCATGAAAATAAATTATATTGATTAAAACATCCAAATACATCTATATTCATTGACTGAAAAAATATATACAATACTCAGGAGTCATATAATTACAATCTTTCATCACCAATCATAAGCACAAATGAATAACTAAAAGATACAAAGAAATAAATATGTAATAAATATAGAGAATCCTGATATGATCAATCTCACACACCTGATCTTCTGCACCTGATATGAAATTATTTAAACCACATATAATGAGTTAAACAACTCAATAGGTCATTAACATCTTATAACTAAATTAAAAATATGATAGATAAGCAGACTTATAGTCAAATTAACCATCTCAAAGATACGAACCCAACGACATAAAAATCAATCTAATTCGAACCTAAATGGGTCCAAATTGAATGATCGAGGGAGTTGATATTGGCCTTGATCCAACTTGACCGTGATCCTCCTTACTAGCCATGCCACTCCCAAAATGTTTATAAATATATCCACATTCTTCACAAAAGAGGGTAGGAAAAAAAAGAGAAGAGGAAGAAGGAAGAGAAGTTTGAGATCTATATTGTCACCAAACTCATCCTCGATTATTGCCTGACCATTGACCATCACCAGACCTCTACCGGTCATTGGCTGTCACTGCACTTCCGCTAGGCTACTGACAGTCACCAGACTTCTGCCCGACCGCCGGTCGTCGTCGGACTTCTGCCTAGCCACCGAACGTCCCTGGACTTCTATTGGATGGTTTGTATTAATTTCTTAATCATAGATCGTTCTTTCCACATTTAACTACGTTAAAGTTGTTAGAATTAAACTATCTTGAGCTTGTTGGCTGCGTTGAGACATTCGATTTGGCTATAAGCATGTGAGAGTTGGAGATCATTTATCATCCAATTGATATCTAAAAAAATTAATTATACTTCAACTGTTTGATTTGAGTTTATTTGGATTTAGATTAGATTATTGTTCGTGTCGATGGATTTCTAATATAAAAGCTTTTGATTCTACTATAAATTTATTAAAATCGGAGTTAAGATCACCATCAATTTTTGAAAAATTCCGATTCAAAATATACATCGAGATTCATACATGATCGAACCTTTTTTTTATGATATATTAATTTTTACAAATAAAATTTAATTTGTTGAAAAATATTGAATTTTAAGATAAAATTGTTTATATGAAATGTTGAAGTCCTCATAGAAATAAAAAACCACAAAAATTAATTAGCAATATTAAACAACATGTAATTAATATTCTAAAAACGGTCCTAATGACAGGCACCCATAAAAATAGACAGGCCAAGAGTTCTTAGCACTTTACTACAATTGACGCCGGTTGTCCGCACAATCACGCTTGAGCGGGCTGGGCTATAGAGGGAGCTGCCAGTGTGCGTTTTTTTTTTTAGGGTTTCTAAAGTTTGTAACGACCGTTCTTCAATCAGCCAGGTAAATGGATTGTTTGATCTATGATTCTTTTCCTCTTCTCTCACGTCTTGCGAGTGATTCCGAGACACCTTTATGTCATTAACTTATTGGACGGCGGGGCGATCTTATCTCGTTTTACCGATTCTGATTCCATTGGACGCAGCTGAGGGGACCCGAAAGACAGGAAAGAGGAAGCAAGCCAAGAAGAGGCAAGGATTGAAGAGCTGAGGCCTTCTAGTGAGTTTACATTGCACTGTAATTGTATTTTTTTGCTGTTGATTATAAACTGGTGTGCAAATGGAATACCAGCGATTCTTCAGTGTTAGATTGCTATTTTTTCTTTTGAATATTTGATTGGAAGACTCTGGGCATTGAAATGTTACTTTTGAATTTGATTTTCTGAGTGGCTACGGTGATATTATGTTTTTTTTTTAAGTTTTAATTTTGACCATTATGTTTTTTGATATATATATTGACGCATGCTTTGCAATTTGCAAAACTTTTTCTTCTGCTTCTTGCCCATTTTTTGACGTTCTAGAAGATTGGCCTAGGTTTAATGGCCGGGAATTTGCGGCTGCAGAAGAAAAAAACTCGTCATTGTTACTGCGGGAAAGGTTGTCTGGGTCTTGCAAAAGGATTTCCATCGGCACTGGAGAAACCGGGGGTGGCCTAGGTTTGAGTTATACCCTGTTTTAGCTATTTATTGTAAGGTTCAATAAAAAAATTTCCTTGTACCCATAAGAAAAAGAAGAAAAAGATGATCTACCATTTAGGATATATCATTTCGCCTCCTCACGTTAAATTTTGGTTTTGTCACCACCCGTGGGATTTCAAAGGCAGGTCCCTCCGACCTTTAGTTTAGGTGTTGCACATGTAGCAAAAAAGAAGAAAAAGAAATGTGGATGGCCTATCATATCTTTCCATGGAGGAGTGACTAAGGGGAGAGCGGACTGCCAAAATTATGAAAAACATAGTATTGAAAGGAATAATGTCATGATGTAGTTGCCTTGCTAGGGCTTCCACTCTCTCTCTCTCACACACACATGCGCAAGTGTCAGTTTATAAAGTGATGTTCTAAGGACCTAAGTATGAAGTACTCTATCACTTCCTTATGGATCTCTACTTGACAAAATCCAACATGTAAATCACATTATTGACCACAAGTGCATATGAAGATCTATGAAGACACCAAGATAGTTTCTTAGAGGTCTGCTAAATAAAAACTTCAGCGTGACATCCAAACAAGCTCTTGGAGATCCGCAAAATGAGAATCTAAGTTTGACGTTCAGACAAGTTCTTGGAGATCCGCAAAATGGAAACGTTAGTGTGACATCCAGGGAAAATTTTTGGAGATCCATAGGGTCAATCGGCATGCAACAAATGTGATTTGCTCTAGATGCATACCATATTTGTTGAAAGATATTTGTTGACCTCTGTAACAAATAAAGAGATAAATTGTTGAAATCATTACACACCTGCCAAATCCTGCGCAAATCCATGCATGAAGTCCCGTTCAAATCGGGTCTTCTGCTACAGTAATCATGTCTTGAGCGATTCAGTGCTGCTTGTGTCATGTCTTGTCTCCCGCAATTCTACAATCCGCTCTTCCCGTCGTTAAAACACAAGCAAAACGAAGCCAAAGGCTTTGGTTATTCAATTGTACACGTGTGTAAAAAAGAGAGAAAGAGAACAAAAAAGGAAGAAAGAGGGAGGTAAGTTAAAAAAATGACAAAAAAGTGCTAAAAAGAGAGAAATTTGTATTTTCATTACTGTCATCGTCAACATCGCGCAGATTTAACATTCTTAATTCAAAATTTTTTTTCGATGTTTGTGTCGAGTTGGCGAAACCCTATACGCGCTTTAGTAACACGATGGGAGGGAACCTGGCGTGACACTTACGACGAGGCGGGTAGGCCTTGTACACGCTCTCGTAGCATGGCGGGGGCAAAATTAAGTACCCTTAGCGCTTGCGTAGCGTAGCGGGGGAAATAAAATTGCGCATATTCAAACAGGTACCTTTAAGAACCATACATGCTCTCGTAGCATGGTGGGATTAAAAAAAATTCGGCCGTGGTGTCATATGTCGCCTACCTGAAGCGCTCACGTAGCGTGGAGGGGAATGCTATGAATCAGATTTTTCCAAAACGAGGGAGACGTTGAGAGGCTGCCGAAATTTGAATTGACGATGCACAAGACTTGATTCAAACTTGATTTGAACTCAAATGCAGTGATAGAGGATTATACTTGAACTTGAAAATGAACGAAGGGAATCAGACTTTTTAATAAATGCACATTGCCAATTAAAATACAAATGCTAAGTAATAATCCAGATTATTCTAATAAACATCAATACACAAATGAAAAACTTACTGACTTATGGTGAGCAATAGTTCAAAAATAATTTACATACAAGCATGGGGACTCATGGAGGATAAGGCTTCAATGCACAAGAATGACGATTAATAAAATATAATCAATTTGGAGCATCCAAATGATCACACACAAAAGTCAATGAATGAATACAAATGATGACTTGTGGTGGACAATGAAGTTGCAAACACAACTCGCTCACAAGCAATATGAAAGTTATGAAGGACACAACCTAATTTCATGATAAGATATGATGCCTTTAATGGATAACAAAACTTGCATACGGATGATAGCAACTGATTCACAATGTTCATCTCAATCATGCAATCAGGTGATTTGAAACGATTGCGATGGACATAGGGATGTGTGATGAATCCAATAATGTCCTTACAACATACAAATAAGCACATCGAATTTCACAAGCAGTAAAAATTGAAGAAGAATGTGTACTTTGATTGAAAACAAAAAAAATGTGGGGTCCTTAGCAGACATTTCACGTATGAATGGTGGTAGATGACGTGCAATACTCATGTCATTCATGCTTGTAAAAAGGATTAGATGATTGTAATAAACACGATAATATGCTCATGGGTAGAGTGTAAAGGAAGTGCAACAGGTATAGCATTAGATTTTGCCTATGTTAAGAATGGTAGAGGTAGACTTAAAAAGACTTGGTTAGAAAATATTAGAAATGATATTTCTTTACTAGATTTAAATGAGAATTTGACTCTTAACAAGACACAATGAAAAAAAAAAATCATGCAGCCGACCCCACATAGTGGGATAAAGGCTTGATGATGATGAAGATGATGTTGTTGTTGTTTTCATGAAGCCCGTCATGATTTAAAGAGCATGACATCATGATATAAGAGGAGCCTATTATTCTTAACAATTATAACAATTGTGAATCATCAAACTTGCCTTTCATCATTAAGGGATATTGGTGCAATTATCATAACTTGGTGTTATTAACTAAAGGAAATCAGCTAACATATTTAAAGAATGGGGCTCGCTCCTCTACTTGGCCATCATATTTAAAAAAAACAAGAGTTGTGCTAGCTTTATTCAATAACATTATATGAGCAGTTCAGTGCCATTTGCATTGCTCAATTTGAAGGATAAGTGGGATCCTGACATTATTAGAAGCCAATTCATTCATGTCACTACAGTCCATTAAAATTTTATCATCATTTTTGAAAAATGGTGTCATTAGTAAAATTATATTCAAATGTTACTAAAGTGCTTAGTATTATCTACTCACCAAGAATTCTAAGGTTGACTTTTTTTAAGAAGCTAGCATAGCTTATTAATTTTAATAAAGGATAATTCCAATCAAATTGTCGAGGCCTTATTGCAATCATAATGAGCCAATAACATGTGTAATTTATATTTATTAAGTGGCCGTTTGAGATCACTTCCAATTTTTGTTTGTTGATTTATTATTTAATATGAAATAAAAATATTTTTGGTATTCTAAATAAGCTTTGTTTTTGTTTTTATTGCATATTGCATGTGGCGGTGATGACAAGCATCAATGTTGGCTATTGCCTATTGGCAGTTATGATCAGTTGTCGGTATTGGCGTGTAGTTTTTGGGGTGTTTTTCATTAAAAAAAAACTAAAAACTCCTAAATATTGTTTTATGTATTTTAAAAAATAACTTGCTTTGCTTTCAAAAATAGAAAACAACGATAGTTAAAAATTGCAAACCAAACTTATTTTTTAATGCAAAAATTAAAAGTGATTCCAAAAACCTCTAATCTAATTCCTGGCAGTTGAAGTCCATGGAGGTTAGAAGGTTGGTCAACACGTAGAACGAGAATAACTAGTGCTTATCTCCTTTTTCATTCTTTGCACTAAAGAAGCAAAAGAGTAGAGGGACTATCTATGGGTAGTCAACTGTGGTCTAGAGAGGTTAAAGTGGTCTCTTAAGCTTTGATCCAACTATTAAAGAGCAATCATACCACAGCCGTAAGAATATTATGGAAATGGGGATGACATGTTCTCTCTGCCATTCATACAACCCATTATATGAGGGCAGGCGTGACTTGAAATTTTCCTCCGATTATTATTATTATTATTATTATTATTATTTTTGAAAGTTCTTTCTCTCTTACCAGCACTTGAGAAGAGAAAAGTGGCAAATCCCTTTCATATTTCTTCTTTTATCCTTTTTACCATGGTTTCTAATTTGAGCATCACAGAGAGCTCGTCTGGAAAACCCGGAACTGTCACTCCTAGAACCTTATAAAAAATGTCATTCTTTCCTTCTCTGGTCCCAAATCCTTGTTGCTTGACTACTAGTAGACTTGGCCAGGATTCTTAGGTGTCTACACTTGCTCTGAAAAAGATTCTCTAGCATTAGTAGGTGGTGACATTGTTGGTTATAAAAAGAAATTGATAAGAATTGAGAAAATATTGGTTATTAAAGTTTTTCCCATCTCAAATTTTTATTTGTCAAACAAATTATCTATAAGAATACCATAACTCCTTAGCTCAATATTTTGCTGCCGGCATGGTGTTTGTTTTATGTGCTATGTAATTAGCATCCTTGTCCTCTCCTGCTTGGAGATTTCAATTGTTTTTGTTAACCTTTCTATGTCATTGAATGCGTAATTTTTAGAAGAGGTGAATATGATGTCTCCATTTAAACCTTAGTAAATCTTCAAGGCGTAAGTAGCAAATAGCACATGTTGAATCATTCGTTCGATTTGTTACGTCAAATTTGAAATAAGCTGGTAATAGTTATTTAACTTGTGATCAGTGCTTTGATAGGAAATACTTGAGTTCACAAGTAACCCTAAGGGTAAACTTGAGTTCTCAAGCAATCCTAACACCAAACGAAGAGCAAACAGCAGTAAATATGCT